TGTTTTGGCAATGGCTGCACTCTCCCCTGAGCTGTTTCCTGGAGCTGTTTCCAGTGAGGGTGGGGTCTGAGGCAGGAACCCGCCCTCGAAGCATGAACCCACTGAATCCTGGGTCCTTTTGCCAATGGCTGCGCCCTCCCCAGTTGTTTCCCGTGTGGCCTGAGGGAAGAATCCACCCTCAGACCACCAGGAGCACCCAGCAGCAGTCTGTCCTGGGTTGCTGAGGTGGAAGCCACGGCGTGGTATAACTCTGGTTCTGGCCCATCAGGGGGCATGGCCGACCTTCAATCCACACCCTGACAGTAGAAAGGAGGGAGCCCCATTCCTCACAGAATCGCTGTTGGATAGCTTGCTGGCAGTGGCCTGCCAGCCAAGAACCCCATTCTCCTGCACCCCAGACCCTGCCAGGAGGGAGGAGGGAGCCCCTTTCCTCACAAAATCAACTGGTGGCCAGTTTGCTGTCAGGGGCCTGCCAGCTAGCAATCCTATTCACCTGCACCTTGGCCGCTGACAGCAGGGAGGAGAGAATATGTTTATAGACCAACTATTGGAACAAAGTACCTCTGAAGCCAAAAGAAGCCAATGTTGGCAACAGAATAGAGAGTTAGAAACATTGATGAGAGAGAAACATCGATCACCTGCCTCCTGCAAACTCCCCACTGGGGATGTACCCGCAACCAAGGTGCATGCCCTTTACTCCTCACTGGGGATGTGCCTGCAACCAAGGTACATGCCCTTGACCGGAATCGAACCTGGGACCCTTGAGGCCACAGGCTGATGCTCTATCCACTGGGGATTTGGACGCCTTCCTGAGGAGCTGACATGACATGACCCAGAGCTGGGTCCTGCCACCCTCACTTTAAGGGCCCATGTGCTGTGCGGAGTCCATTATCTTACCTGAAGAATCCCCAGATGCCCAGGCGGTACTGAATGATCACCACCACCATGTTTTCATGGGCAGAGAGGGCCAGCCCGTCATAGGTTGATGCCCCGCCCACCACCAGACCTCCTCCGTGGATCCACACCATCACCTGGACAGGGAGGAAGCAACCACACAGGTCACAGATAGGAGCAGAGCTGGGAAGGACCCCCAAGGGTTGTCTGGTTGATCAGGACTGGAGGAGGCTGTTCTCTGAAGCTCATCAGCCCCCAGCAAAGGTGGGGCAGGCAATTGCTCTCCTCCCCACTCCCCCAGCCAGGGCCAGGCCACCCCCACCCATGCACCTGGCTGCCACTGCCTGTCTCTCCAGCCCCAGTGCTGCCTGCTCCCAAGGCTCTTCATGCTGAGAATAGCATCACGCGAACGGCCGAGGCCAATGGGGACATCTTCCCCCAAACAGTCCCATCATCCTCATGCCTGGGCCCCTAACCCACTCAGCACACTCTACCAGGGCAGCCCTTGGATTTCAGCGTCATTAGTCACCTCTTATCCGGAAAATTAAAGTCCTCTCATGTGTGTGAGTGACTATCTCAAGAAGCATCCATGCTCCCAGTGGTATCTCTTCCTTACAGTCCTCCCTCTGCACCCCAGGGACTGCCCCCAGCAGATCTACCCCCACCTTCTGGCTGCCCATCTCTGGGCCTCTGCATATTGAGGAAATGTTGACTCACTGGGACATCTCCCCAGCCAAAGACAATTAGGAAGGGAAATTAGCTCAGGAACATCTCAGATATTGAGGAAAAGACAAAGACAAAGGACAATGCTTCTTGGACTGCCCCGGACTCTGCCTCCACACCTCTGTGCTACCCTGGGACACTGGTCAGAGCAGGATCTTTGGAGCTGACAAACACCACCCACTGGCTCGACTTTTCAGAGAACCCTTGCCCTGGTCCTGCCAACCCAACTGGGTGGCCTCGCCTTCACGGTTTCTCTGTCTGTAAAAGGAGGATTGGGGTGTTGCCTTCTCGGTGAGGTTCCTTCAAGCTCTAACTGACTGGAAAGCATGCCTTAGGTTCTCTGGCAATCAGATTCCTAACCTTGCAACTATCAGTAGTCACGCTTGTCCCTCTGTTCGCATGAGAGAACGTGGAAAGAACTGACGATAGGTTACAGATGTACAGCGAAGTTCCAGGGAGGCACCATGACTATTGCCGGGGAAACTGAGTGATGGAAAACATGTGTTTCCAGGGGTCACTTGGCCTGGTCAGGGAGAGCAAAGGAATCCCGGGTCCGCTGAAATAGCCGTGGCTGGGACACTCCCCCCCACGCTGCCTTACTCCTCCCCGGTCCACACCAGGAGATCACTCCGACATGGAACGCACACCTTACCGGCAGCCTGCTCTTCCTCTTCAAGTCAGCGGGAGTGTAGATGTTTAGGTAAAGGCAGTCTTCAGAGAACTTGAGGGGAATGTTCTCCTTTCTGATCAAAAAGAGCTCTGAGAGCATCTGGGCTGACAGGGCATCTTGGGAGCACCTTGGGGAGGTGGGGAGAGAGATATACTCAGGTTTAGCCGAAGCGGCACACAGAGCTATGGCCTGGGAGCTCTGTGCCTATGCAAAGCTGCTCTTACCAGAGAGAAGATGTTGAGTGGGTAGGAAGCCATGAGCAGGGGCCGTGGGGCTCACTAAAGCCTCCCAGCATCATGTATAGCGAGAAGGCCTCGCTCTTCTCCTCTTCCTGGCAATTCCGCATGTACCACGTCAAGGACAGGAGGCTGCTTAGCTACTGCCCACCAGGGCAATGGTCGTCCTGCACACCCTGGACACAGCCTGGCTCTGTGTTGGGCTCCCACAGAGGGTTCAGTGGGGCCGCTGCACCTCGACCAGGTAACCCACATGGTAGAGTCCACAAGAGACTCCCATTCACTCAAATGGCAGCAGACGTGTGGGGCCCGTGACAGGTCAGGGGTTACATATTTGCAGGGCGACATCAGGAGAAATGCCACAGGCCCTGGTTTCCCTGCTCTGGGCCCTCATCTGCCAGGTCTGAGTGAGGGGAGTGGTTTCTAGAAGAATCTTGCAGCCCTGACATGCTAAGAGTCTATCACATACCCATCCGTCCCAGGCAAGTGCTGTTGCTTGCCCTGATAACAGACTGTGAGTAGCCAGCACAGATGACAATTGGCGAGTCCTCCCAGTCAGTCAGGCATTCATTACTCCTTGTGACCAGGTAACTAGACACACCTGGGAACTGACAACTTGCCAGGTCCACACCGCAAAGCACTCCCACCCACACAACCTCCTGGCTCACCCCACTCTCCAAATAGACCAAAGTTCATGTCAGGAGAATAAATAGAGTCAGTACCTCTGATCCCCATCAGCTGCTTAATTAAAAAAAAAATATTTTTTCCAAAGTACTTATCCTATTGCAACATATTACATAACTAGAGGCTCACTTGCACAAAAGTTTGTGCACTTGTGGGGGGGTCCCTCAGCCCAGCCTGTGCCCTCTCACTGTCTGGGAACCCTCAGGAGATGCCCACCTACTGCCTAGCCCCGGGGAGTGGGCCTAAGCTGGCAGTCAGACATCCCTCTGGCAGCCTGGGAACCCTCAGGGGATGTCCACTTGCCAGCGGGAAGCAGGCGTAAGCTGCAGTTGGACATACTTAGTGCTGCTGAGGAGGTGGAAGAGGCTCCCACCACCACCGCTGTAATGGCAGCCGTTAGCCTGGCTTGTGGCTGAGCAGAGCTCTACTTGTGGGAGCGCATTGACCGCCAGGGGCAGCTCCTGCATTGAGCGTCTGCCCCTGGTGATCAGTGTGTGTCATAGTGACCAGTCATTCCCAGTCGTTCTGCTGTTAGGGCCAATCTGCATATTACTCTTTTATTACATAGGATAGAGGCCTGGTGCACAGGTGGGGGCCAGCTGGTTTGCCCTAAATAATGTCCGGGATCGGGGTGAGGGTCCCGCTTGGGTGCCTGGCCAGCCTGGGTGAGGGGCAGAGGGCCATTTTCCAATTGGCCACAACCACTTCAGGGTGGGGGGGCCCACTGGGAAGCCTGGCCAGCTTGGGTGAGGCGCTGATGGGTGTTTGCAGGCTGGCCAACCCCCAGTGGGGACCCTCACCCTATGGGTGTGTGGCCAGCGTGGGTGAGGGGCTGAGGTCTGTTTGCAGGCTGGCCACACCCTCTTCTGGGTGGGGGTCTCTACTGGGGTGCCTGGCCAGCCTGGGTGAGTGGCTGAGGGCCGTTTTCAGGCTGGCCACACAACCCAGGGACCCAAGTTCCCAGCCTCTCCTTTTTTTTCTTTTTTTTCTGGGATTTATTTATCGTCTATAATTGAAACTTTGTAGCCCAGAGCGGAGCCCAGGGACGGCAGGGCAGGCGGGAAGCTTGGCTTCCTCCATCGCTGGGGGAACCCAAGCCTCCTGCTCACTCCAGCTCAGGGCCGCCGCCATCTTAGTTGGGTTAATTTGCATACTCACTCCTGATTGACTTTGTGGGTATGGCTTGTGAGTATGGCTTGAGCGTAGCAGTTGGACAGTTAATTTGCATGTTTCCCTTTTATTATATAGGATGTAAGTATTAATTTGCATATTGTTTATCATCGATCTCTACCAGCTGGAACACAAGCTCCATGAAGGTAGGAATATCTGTTTCATTCATTAATGGAGCCCAGGAACCTAGAATATGCCTGGCACACAGTAGGTGCTCAATAAATACTTGTTGGATACAAGGCTCTACCATGATATGGGAGTTCTGGAATTTGTTGTTGTTTATAAATATATTTTAATTGATTTCAGAGAGGAGGGCAGAGGGAGAGAGAGATAGAAACATCAAGGATGAGAGAGAATCATTGTTCAGCTGCCTCCTGAACACCCCTTACTGGGGATCGAGCCCACAACCCAGGCATATGCCCTGACCGGGAAATCAAACCGTGACTTCCTGGTTCATAGGTTGACGCTCAACCACTGAGCCAGTCAGGCTGGCCTGGAATGTTTTTAAGGATCTACCTTATCTTAAGGATCCAGAACAATGGAGAAGGCACTCAGAGGCGTGCCTTGGCGCTTGCCCACATCCCTTTGAGGCAAACGTTCCACTAAAAGATGCCAACACTTACATAGGAGGGTAGGAGGTGGTGTTCTTCACAAAGGTCCATGGCTCTGCAGGCTGTGGAGGAGCAAACCTCAGGGGTCCGAGCGGCGGCTTGGCAAAGGGGACTCCCAGGAAAACGGCCACGGGCTGTGCAAAGCCTTCTAGGCTGACATACTCCCCCAGGACCTGGCCCTGCACAGTGTCCACCACAGGTGGTGAAGGTGGGTGCCCTGTGGGTGTGGAGAGGAAATGAGGACACACCCGCGGTGAGAGGTTGGAACTGGACTCCAGGTGGGTAATGCCCCAGGTAACCCTGAAAGAGTCCCCTCAACTCCTAGGCCTCCAATTCTTCTTACGTCAAATAGAGAGTAGGTGAACCGGCCTCCCTAACTCATAGGGTCCTAAGGAGACCGTGGGAATTGGGAGAAATCACAGCATCAAGTACAACATCAATGCTAGGAGAGCTGCTGGGCGCGGACAAGACATATGGTTTCCATGCTTAGGAGCCTCTGGAAACAATTTTACATTGACATGCCGGTGCTGGGCTGCAGGAGGAAAGGGGGAGCAAGAGGCAGCCCCTCTTCTTAGCAGCCTGGACCTTGCAGGGGGAATGAGCCACATGCACACTGGACCCTACCGCTGGGAAGGAAGAAGGAAGGGGTAGGTGTCATGAGGGAGGTATCTGTTAGGTGTTACAGGAGGAGAAGAGGGAGCCAGGGCTTCTGATTGGTGGCCTCATGGAGGAGGTGCCCTTGGTGCTAGGACTTGTGGGGAAGACTGAACAAGGGGAGATGGAATGGGGGGGGATGGGGTGGGGGGAGAGACAACACAAGGCAAGACCTGCCTGGGCCACAGCGATCTAAGGGGAGTGGAAAATTATCCTGGAATGAGAACCTTCATGTCAGCCAGGTCCTCGGGTGCCTGGTTAGGGGTCTGGGCTTTACACAGTGGGTACATGAGCAGAGCAGCCGTGAATATTCTGGAGAACGAGAGAGTAGCACGGTCGCCGTAACATAGTTCTGGTGGTTCTGAGCAGGGTCTCCAGAGGGGGGAGAGAGTCTTTCCTCACTGGGCTGAATTCACCTCCTGCAGCCTCTGTATCAGCCCTGGTTCTACCTTCCATGAACCACCCTGAACTTCCAGCCAGGATGGGCCCTTCCTCCCATCTCCTCTTCCCCATCCCCGCAGCCCCAGTGCGTTCAAGCATTCCCCTTTGGCAACGGTTCCTAGCCTCTCAGCCTCCAATGGCTCCCCTGCAGGTCCTGACAAAAGGCCAACATCTCTCTCAAAGTGTGTGGCCAGAACAACAGCAACAACAACACAAAGAGTAAATCAAATTCGGACTTAGAAAACTTCCCAGTGACACTGGAGACACTGTTATGCAAAGGCATGTTACAAAACAGCACCCATGTCTCTGGTCATGAATAGCCAATCGCATATTAATGGGCTGTTTAGGATGTTCTCCTTTGTTGTGGTGGCTAATGATTACAATGAGCATCCAGAGGGACTTCCTTGGAAGCATGAGCCTGAAGCTATCAAGGAGTGGTGTCGCTGCAGGTGATGGTTTTTCTATGCATTTTCCTAGTTTTCTGCACTGAGCATAGATTCCGTTGTATACTTAGCAGGATTTTTAGGAATAAATACAGTGATGTCTATAAGGAATGTTGCAGAAGGGCGTGGCCCCTGATCCGATGTGGGGGACACAGAAGGGAAAGAAGATGAAAGAGCTGCCCCGGACCCCGAGTTCCGATTCAGACAGGTGCAGGGGAGAAGTCAATGAAATACTGGGTGAGAAGACACCACAGAAGTGAGCCCTTCAAGACCGGAGGAGGCCAGGTGAGCGGGCCGAGTAGAATCATCTCCCTGAAGGTGAAGGTGCAAACTATGGATGTGTGTGACGTCACTGAGGAGGCCAGTGGGAGAGAGAAGAGAAAAAGCTGCAGAGAACGCACAGGGGAAGCTGTGGCTGAGACTGAGTGGAGGGAGGCGGGCACCCTGGTGGGGGCAGGGTGGAGGGGAGCAGCGTGGAGGCCACGGGAGAACGGGTGACACACATGCTGAGTGCTTCAAAGAGGGGAAGGAGGGTGACGTCTGAGGAGAAACCAGACTTGATAAGAGCCTGGCCTTTAGGAAGTCAATGATAACCTTCAAGAGACATGAAGAGCCCAGTAGCCCAATTGGCCAGGTGAAAAAGAGGGTGACTGGTTTGGGAGACCCATGCAGTAATGGTAACAGCGGCAGTTCCCACGTATGTTATAGGTCATGTTACATGTTGGGCATTTCCTGTGGATCAGATGGGCATCCTGGTGCACTGAATCTTCCCCAGAGCCTTGCCAGGTAGGCAGTAGTCTGCCCATTTTACAGATGAGAACACAGAGGAAATGGAGGCAGCCAAGAATGGGCTTTCTAAAGAGAGAAACAGGATGGCCTTGCCAGGAGGTGGCAGCAGTGAGGGAATGCTCCACTCCTAACTTGGCTCCTTTCTTACTCTGCCCTGTCACTCAGTCCCCTGCCTGTCAGAGTGCCTGCCACCAGAAAGAAATAAAGTCCAGATGGGGCCTGGGCTGTCAGGGTACCGATGGCCACAGCACTGTGGGTCCAAGAGCCAGAGGTAGTATAACCAGGCAGAAACCTTATTTTCTTTAATCTAGGCTTTATTTTTTTTAATATATTTTTTATTGATTTCAGAGAGGAAGGAAGAGAAAAACATCAATGATGAGAGGAAATCACTGATCAGCTGCCTCCTGCACACCCCTCACTGGGGATCGAGCTCGCAACCTGGGCATGTGCCCTTGACTGGGATCGAACTCAGGATCCTTCAGTTCACAGGCCGACACTCTATCCACTGAGCCAAACTGGCTAGGGCTGGAGTTTATTTTTTTTCCTTTGATTCTAACTGGCCTTACCCAGCACCCTGATTCACTCAACTTCCCTCTCCCTAGCTCAATCATGTAGCCCAAGCATGTCAAACTCGTGTCTGGTGGCCTGTGAGTTGGACATGCTTGATGTAGCCCTCAGGACAACTGGTCAGCATCCAGCAGTCTTAGGAACAAGGTCCTGGTTCAATTGACTACTGATTCAATTTATTTAATCCTCACCTGAGAAACATGTTTGGAGAAAGGAAGGGAGGCAGGGAGGGAGGAAAGAAGGGAAACATCAATCGGTTGCCTCCTATACACGCCCTGACCTGGGATTGAACCCACAACCCAGGTATGTGCCCTGACTGGGTATCAAACCTGCAACCTTTCAGTGCACAGGACGATACTCAATGGACTGAGCCGCCCCGGTGGGGCTCAATGGATTATTTAGACAGAGTTTTCAATCAAACGGAACACAATATCTTGGCCTCAGTTGTGTTTTAGCTTTAGACCCAGGAAAGAGAACTGATCCCATAGAACAACTCCTCACCATGTCTTTTATTTTCTGTTCTGATACACTGACTGACATCCCAGGTATGGATGTCTCTGGAGGGACTGCCCCTGCCCCCCTTAGAGTGAACCAATTCCTAGAGATAGTCATCAAATTGCCCTTCTAGCATGCCAGAGTCTGTACCCCTGCCCCCCCTCCCTCAACAGCTTCTCAGGCTACCACGCCCCAGCCACTATCTTCCTGCACTAATCACTCCAGGGCCAGATCCCTGCCAACCGCCACTGAAATTGGCTATTTACATAGCTTGCCCTGACCTGCAACCACCACCAAGACTCTTGCCACACTCCCTCCCTCCTCTGTCCCCTGACCTTGTGGCAATCATGGTGGTGGCCCCCTCTGCCTCTTGGAAACTGGGAGTAACAACCTATTTTCTCAATGAAGTGGCTCCTGATCTGCTGGCCCTCCAGCAGTTTCTATTAAAACAGGCCACTTTATTTTATTTTTTATTTTTGGTGCCCTTGGCCGGAATGGAACCTGGGACCCTTCAGTCCACAGGCCAACGCTCTATCCACTGAGCCAAACCAGTCAGGGCAATACAGGACACTTTAAAACAACCCCTTCATTTAAGGATTCTTCCATGGCACTTCCTCCATCCCCAAAGAATCAACCCATTTCATCCTCAGGAGAACCCCTCCTTCCTCCCCCCTCCCCCCCAGGGAGGTGTACCATCATCACACATTTAAGAGAAGGAGGCGCCCTGACTAAGGACACACACGCCTTTGGAGTCGATGTTAATATGCTGCTAAGCTGCTCTCCATGATTTGGCCACATCTGGACCAATCAGCAGGAGAAATAAACAAGCTCCTGCAGGTCCTCGTCCACAGGTGTGAGCTGAACGGTGGTCCGTACGTCTGCTGCGTGCCCAGGGGTCGTCTCCACGGTCCCTCACCCCTGGGTCTGCTGCAGACTCGGGGATGAACTCCCATCACGCTGTTTCGGAACCGCACCTGTCACGGGTTTGGCCAGCACGCAGCTCCCACACCTCGCACCAGAAAGGGATTTCCAAATGTGCCCCCTCCCCCTGCTATTTGTATTTCAGAAGGACTCACCCCAAGCTGTGCAAGTGGCCAGGGAGCCCAGGACCAGAGCAAAGAACCACATCGTGGGAGGACAGCAGCTCCAGGCCCACAGGTCTCTCTGCAAGTGCCTCTGCCTCCAGGGGCTGTGACCTTTGCCCCTCAGCTCCCTGTCAGCAGCTCCCGCCCCACCGCTGCCCTATGACCTAATCAGGAAGCAACACAAAAGCTCCAGGTCTCCCAAAGGGCTGCTCAGGGCACAGCCAGGGCCTCTAGGCCACGCCCACCCAGAGTTGACCATCCTTTGCCCACACAGCCTGGACACAGCTCTCAGGTTACCTGAGTTGTCAAGAAACTTGTTACATAAGGGCTTCTCATTGGACACTTCAACCTGAGCAGGCAGTGAGCTTCCCAAGGCAGCGGACAAGGGGAGGCAGTGGTCTCAGGGTCCTCCCAACAAGGCTGCAAACTTTCTGAGCAACTCTCAGCCCCACAGCTGCTTAACTGGGGAATTTAAGACAAATCTCTTAGCTTCCCATTTGGTGGTCTGTGTGTGTTGGGATGTGTGTGTGGGGGGAATGGGAGGTGTGGAGGGGGAGGTGGTGGTCAGTTCCCAGAGGTAACTGCTTCTATAAAGATTGCCCTGGCCCTAGCCGGTTTGGCTCAGTGGATAGAGTGTCAGCCTGTAGACTGAAGGGTCCTGGGTTCGACTGTGATCAAGGGCACGTACTCAGGTACCTCCAGTCAGGCTCAGAGGCAGGGGGCAACCAATCGGTGTGTTTCTCTCATGTTGATATTTCTCTCCCTCTCTCTTCCTCTCTCTTTAAATGTCAATAGAAAAATATCCTCAGGTGAGGATTAAAAAAATTAAAAAAAAAAAAAAGGGATTGCCCTGGGTAGGATTCCTATCTTTTATCTAGGGGGGAAAAACACACGGGTCATGAAGCTCACCCAGATAAAGAGCACCCATATCTCTACCCACATGGGACAATCTGGGTTGTCCTCTAAGCAGAGGCTATTTCTAATCAACACACACACACACACACACACACACACACACACACAAGCACGGGCCTTTGCAACCTGGGAACACCGCCTGGCTGCTAGCCTCTGAAGACTGTAGGGTGCTGTATCAGCATCTTCAGAGCCCCAGGGTGAATTATTCTTCTGGTCCCATTGTTCAGCCACACCAGGGACACCAACCCGTTCTGCAAGGGCAGCCGCCTCCAGATCTCGCCCCGTTCCCGCCTGGCTCAGAGTCATCTGCAGAAGGGATGGGTGAGGCTGGAGTCTGAAGCCAGACCTCAGCTTGGCTCACATGCATAAGCCCCCTGCCTCATGTGAAAGAGATGCAGTGTTTCTTGTGTCAGTGGGAGGCGGCTTGGAACACAGCTTTCCCTTGGGGAACTCCCTCAGGTTTCCCGTGTGGAAATGGATTATCCGGAGAGTAAAATCCTAGGAATTGACCTTAACTCCTAAGCTGCTGGACAATCTTAGGAGAGAAGACACCCCCAGGGGCTCCAAATGAGCCCCCCAATCCCTCTATCTCCATCAATTTACTCAACAGATATATGGTGAGCATGCATGCAAGCAAGCAAGCACTGGACAAGTGTGAGCCCATGAGCTACTGTGCTCTTCATTTGGCTTTGTCCTTCACTTGGCTTTGCGCTCTCATCATGGCATGAATCGGCACAGGCTTTGTGGTGGAGAACAGGGCACAGGCAGACCAGGGGTTGGGGGGCCCACTGGGTGACACTGGGGGTCCTTTTCTAGAGAAAGAGAGGCTCATGTACCATCTCCTCCAAACCAAAATTCTGCGAATCTAGAATTCTGTGACATTTTTCAGTGGAGCCTTGAAGACAGGCAATGTTTCTGGATCCTGTTATTTTCATATTAACATTCCGTTTTCTGCCATGTCAGCTCACCATCTGTACTATTCTTAGCAATTTCCCTCCATTATCTTTTACTTTAAACACACTCATTCAACAAGAAAATGTTACATCATGGCCATACGTGGAAGACCTGGATGACTTGCCACAAATAAAGGTGAGCATGGAAGGTGTGTCACTGCATTTTAAAAAAGTAAAATGATGGCAAACATAAAAAGTGAATAATAAGTAATAACACCGCTAATTGATTTACGAAAGTGCAGACCCCAAAATAAGTCACCCAATGGGAAAAGTGGACGGTGGGTGGTCAGTAACATCAGGGCAGGGACACCTTGTCCACCACCATGACCACCAGTTAGGGGACCAGGGTCACCCTTAATGCAGCCAATTCACTGAGCCTCAGGGAACCTCTCCTTGTTGACACTCAGATCATTGAGGCTGCGTTATTAGGTGGTGACCCCCAGGGGTCAACCTGGTCCTAGGACCTACCAGGACAGAACAGGTGTAGAAAATTTTAGCCTGGGGGTGGGTCCCAGAGAGGAGAGCTGCACCCACTCCCCCCTGGGCATAGATGGTCATCTGACATGGCACAAACCACTGCCAGTGGGGCCGCCGCCAGTAGGCAGGCTCTAGGGCCTCCTAGTTTAGCTCCTGCTGAGTAAGCATGCGTTGTGAAATCAGGGTAAATGATGGTGTGAGAGTCACAGAATCTCAGAGGTTGGTTTCTTGCTTATGAAAAGGACTGGGGTGCCGTTGTTCTCCACAGGGTCCCTTGAGGACCTACCAGGGGGTCGGCAAACTTTTCCTATAAAGAGCCAGCCAGTAGGCATTTTAGACTTTTGGGGTCATAGGGTCTCTGTGGCAACTACTCAACTCTGGTAGCAAAAGCCACGTAGGCACCCCCAGGGAAGTGGGCACGGCTGTGTCTCAATAAAACTGTATTTTAAAAATAGGTGCTGGGCTGGATTTCGGGCATGGGTCAGAGGTTACTGACCCCTGATCTACATGGCGTGGCTTTGCCACCCTTACCTCATGGTTTCGCATGTTTCCTCTCTGCTCCTCCAAACCTTGTCACCTCTTAATTCCCAGGACAACCAGGAGAAGGTGTGGACAGTTTGGGGCACTAATGTGCTCTGGCAACCCTCGGGGTAAGAAAACACACAAAATGCGTTTTAGTGTGAGGTCGCTGTATTCGCCCAGATGTCTATAAGACAATCTACAACAATTTGAGTTTGCTGAGCCCTTTCCAGAATATAGTTCAATCTTAACTTTTCTGGGCCTAAATTTGTACATGTTTTTCTGACTTACTCTTTCTCCTCTTCTTAAAAGGCTGAAGGAAACTTGAGAGCAGTTCTAGCAAGCAGGGACTGAGTCTACAGTCAGGCTCTTATCATTGAAGGCAAAGAAGTACAAAAGTTCAGTGTTCAGCAAAGTGGAGTACGTTTATTCCTGGAGTTTGTTAGGTTAGGTGGCTCAGGAGGTGGTGCAAGAAATAGAGACTCCAGTGAATCAGAAAAGAAAGGAAAAGGTTTATTTCTGCGTCCCCGGGAGACCCAGGTACCCCAAGGACAGGGCACGTGGATTCACACCAACAGGGAGGGGGGCGCTTTTTTATACTGCAGTTGGGTGAGGGGCGGGGACATGAGCTGAGGAATTCTCTGCCGCAGGGGATGGGCGGGGGTATTCAGAAGAAGTTCGTATCTGTGTGGGGGTATGTGGATTCAGGGAGAAGAAGCTGGTATCTGTGTCTGGCACGTTGATCTGTGAGAAATTCCAGGGGAAGTCCATTGTCTCATCACATGTCTGCATGTATCTGATCCTGGGCTCTCTCTGACCTAACAGAGTTAACCTCTGGAAGGTTATTTAAGACGGTGTGCAAACACACCTTAAAGCATTTATGTAACGGTTATGTATTGACTTTGCTGCGTACTAGAAAACAAAATCCCTAATGTCAAAGTCCATGATTGAATGGATATTATTTATGGCAGGAAATTGCTAGCTGTGCATTAAAATCCATCCCGCACGGGGAGGTGAACACACAATGCAGGGTACAGATGATGTGTTGTAGGACTGTGCACCTGAGACCTGTATCAGTTTGTTAACCAGTGTCACCCCAGTAAATTCAATGGAAAGGAAAAATGTAGAAACCCATAGAACACTGTTTTTAAATGTTCATTTAAAAAGGTTCTCCACTTCCTAATAAAGGAGGATGGAGCACTTGCATTCATTTCCACTCCATCCCCAAATTCTTCTTCAAGGCCATGAAATAAAGTCTTGAAAGGCACACGCCGCCATATTCCAACAGAATGGCTGAGGGGACGAAGGCAACAGAAGGATGAAGCTGGGAGAGGCCAAAGCAATGACCACTGTTTGTTGAGCAGAGAAAGTGGAAGTTGACGCATGGGGAGGAGGGAGCCCGGGACAAAGGGATTCAACATGGAGAAGTCTCTGGAAGTGGAGGTGCAGTGACACCCATGTGTGCACCTGGGGAGTGCAGCTCTCCGCCCCAAGGCCCAGCCCCAGGGCAGCGTTCCCACAGGAGCTCGGTCTCTGCCAGTCCTGGAACTGAACTGAACCCAGGGAACCCAATCACCTGATTACAACAGAGATCAGAAGCCTTGGCAGCAGTAACATAATATGATTTCTGCCCAGAAATCTGAGGGTCAAAAGGAGGCAGTGACCTGAAGCTCAAGAAATGGCTGCAGTAACAGTGACCTCTGGTAATGCCAACGCCTGGCCACCTCCCTCCTCATGGTCCTGAGGGTGGACTGCCGGGGTTCTTGTCCCAGCATCAAGAAGGGTTCAGGAATCTAGAGAAGGCTGTGTGTAGATGACACAGGAATCCAGAGGCTAATAAAGAGTCCAGAGACGAAAGATAATTTTGAAAGGCATTGGGGGTCAGAGGACCTTCAGCTAAAGGAACTGAAGACTCCCTGCTTGTCTAGGACCCTTGCTTTTTATTAACACAATTTGTCCTAAGGCAAGGCAGAGATAATACACTTCAAAGGGTAAGATTTCAAAGGGTACAGAAGCATTGTCAGTTTGGGGAATAGCCTACGGCTGTACAGGTGTTTGGCCAGCAGGAGGCAATAACATGTAGATTAAGATGCCTTTTAACTGTCTGGCAGCCAAGTAACCAATTTAATGTATCCTATTCAGGTTTGGGGAAATGCCTTTAGCCATTCCCAAAGGGTGACTACATGTGTGATTCAACCCTGTTGAGTCCCCAAGTCTCATCAACCTTTTGGTGAAACTCTTGAAATTATGACATGCT